CAAGGGTCGCTCGGCCGGACGGACCGAGCGAGCGACAAAGCTAGAGCCAAATTCCGCTCAATTTAATTCAACATACACATACGTGGACGGTCCAGCACTCGGGCCCAGGTTATTTATGTGTCGGTTCAAAGTGGGTGCCTGCCCGGCAGAAAGAAGCAAAGGACGCGAAAAAATTCACCGACGGGATTTTATTTAACTCCCAAGGACCACTTCCGTCGGGCTTATTTTTTTGTGGGAAAAGAAAAAATCTCTTGAGTTGGACAGCCGGAAAAAGTGTTGAATTCGTTTCAAAATAGAGAGAGATTTTCTCTTCATAAATGTCTGGTTTTCCGGGTGAATTAAAAAAATTCACTTCTGCCAAATGGACAGGCTTTCAATATACTCTGGAATAATCTCAAAAACATAAAAATTTTGATATGTAAACTGTTTCCGCCTTTGAGGAGATTATTCATATTTCACTTTTTACCGGTGAAAAAAATGAAAAGGAAAAAGAAATGTTTTTATTTTTATTTTCAAAATTTCAATGTAAAAACTGAACATTAGGCAAAAAATGGACATTCAAAAGTTTGAGAATAACAATTTGAATAAATGTAAAATATACATAAAGGTTTCCACTCAGATTGTGATCGCGTTTTAAAGGTTTTTTTCCGTAAAGCACAAAAGCATCAACAGCTTTGTTTATTCAAAATTTCTATGAAAATATTGGTAAGTTGCTCACTTATTTCTAATTGCACTTTTCGTTATAGATTTCTTGTTTCCAATGTTCCAAAATCAGAGTCCTTTTTAAATTTTTTAGTTTTTACAGTAATTAAAGGTCTTCCCCAATAATGATTTATATTGTTAGATTAAAAAGTAGACTTAATTTAATCACTGTCTTTGAAATTGCGAAAGAAACATTCAAATTCCTGAGGACCAATGAAGGTTGAACTTTTACCATCACAAGAATTGTAATCTTTGATGCTAAAATTAATAGTTTAAATTCCATCAAATAAACAAATTATAGTCATTGAAACCAACAAATAAATCCTTTCCCAAAAGTTTAAATACTTTTGTTGAGAGAAATTTTGTGTTGTTTTCAATAAAATCATTTTTCTGCAAAGGCCCTTTTAAATTTTGCAACTCGGATCAATAAACGGAGCATCCGCAAGTTCAAAAATAGCGCTGACGAGGCTCCTGCCTTTTTTTATTGTATTTCGATCGGAGAGCGGACGGAGTGCAATGTCAGGTATTTAACTCTGACATTTTAATGCGATTAAAAATAATATTTTGGCTTTCGGTTCGTTCTCTCTTTCTCTCTCTCTCACTCGCAGTCAATGACGGCTGGCTGATGGCGCGGCGCGTTTTTTCAGCGTGTTTTTATTGTTGCCGCCGTCAAAGCGGGCGAGTGACTGCGCTGCTGAAAATGACAATTACTTTTTTGCGCATTATCTGCGCGTTCGCGATTGCCGCCGTCGTGACGGAGCACGTTCGATTCAATCTGGCGCGCTCCGTAAAAAAAAAAATATACCCAGTTCAAATCTATTAAGCGGCCCCATCACACACGGCTGTCACACTCGATAAAATAACGTGGTAAAATAAAATGCATTAGGCAGTCATGATCCGCTGATTGCAATTTGAACAAAAGTCAATTGCTTTTTAAAACTCAGAATGACCATCGCACTGACGATTGGATTCCACGCCCCTCCCTAACCACCCTAATTCAAATAATAAAAATTGATTCTTTTTCCATCCACACCCAAAATAAACCAGACCTTTTGTAAAATTACCCTTTTGGAACAGATTCGAATGGTTTCAGGAATAATGTCATAATTGAAAAAAATTCAAATATTAGAAAGTTCTTTTGTGATATTTTATTTCGATGGAATTGAAAACAAGAAATTTCTCTCACAATTAGGTATTTTAATTTAAAAATAAAATTGGAGCCTAAACATTAGTTTTGTCTTATAAGAAAAAAAATAAAAAATTATAGGATTTTATATTATTATTGTTTATTTAAATTTGAAATTAATACTGGTTTATTTAAATGTTTTTAGGCGAAAAAGGTCCATTAATTTCATTTTTGTTTTCATTCAGAGAGTTTTAGCCAGAGGCGATTTTCCGTTCACCCTCGAAATCACCGGCAGCAGCGATGGCTGACGCGAAATTGGCGCGCATTATACGGGGGATGTTTAGCCCTCGTGACTTTTTCCCGCTAAATACCAACAGGGCAATTTCCGAGGGCCCGCGTCGACACGCCCCTCGTCGTAATGAGGTTTGATAAGGTGTGCATAATGTCTCGTCCTGCCCTCGAATCACCCCTCACCTTTGCGCCATTACGCGCTCGTAAATATCGCGAGCGCCGTCTCACCATACCCAATTTTCTACCTACAGGAAAATCATATTTTTATATGATTTCTCAATTTCCAGACGCAAAAGGGAAATCTTGAAAGTGTGCAGTCCAACGACGCAAGTTTTTTTTATGAAGAAACTATAGGAAAATGTGAATGCAAGTACATTATAGTACGTCTTAAAGGCTGCTGGGTCGAGACAAAAAGGCAAAAGACGTGATTAAATTGGATTTTTGTAAGATTTCTTCAAAGTGTGTCGGTTTTAATGAAAGATTCTAATTTGCTAAAATTAAAATATACGGTAAAGTAAATTTCTTATGAGATTATATCTTTAAGGAAGGACGAGGAATTAATTGAAATTTTAATTTCACTCACTTTAACTGATTTTTTTGCTCAATTCGGTACATTATCAGATTATTTTTTACGTTGTATGTGTTTAAATTAAGGGAACGTTAGCAAGAAATTTGTCCTTCCTTTATATATAAGGAGAAAACGTTGCAATACTTTAAGTAGATTTTTATTGCAAAAATAGAGTAAAAATCCTTCCCAATTTAAGATTAACTTAAGCTTCTTATCCTCTTGAGAAATTATTAATAAAAATATAAATTATAAACGAACCCAGAAAACCAGGGGATAAATTTTAATTTTATCTTAATTTGAAAATCCTTTTTATACCAGATTTGTATCTCGATTTCAGAAATTACTTAAAAATGACAACGGTTTCCCCCTACAATTTAGCGTCTAATAGAACAATTTTGATATTATTACTATTAATTAGAGAATATTTGTTTGTGAAAACAGCTCAAAATTGTCTCTCTCGATAAATCCTGTCATTTTAACTTACTTCGGGAACAATTTCTGATTCCAATAATTTTCTTTTCCAAATCAATATGTTTTGGCTCAAGCAAGCGAAGCCGTGAGTTATTCAATTCGACAAAGAAAATTCCATCACCTTCAGCAAACGCATATTTCTGGCGAAACTTTCCAATGAAATTAAGTCGTATATTTCTTGAACTGCGCAGTGTAATTCAAACTTGGCTACTCTCGGGGGCGCATGTGAATGTTACGGCAGTGCGAAATTAGTTTTCAGGAATTCGAACGCACGCCGAATGGCAGGTATAAATTCGCCCTAGAGCACCCTTTCATTTAATAATCGCGTTATGCAAAGTTACGTTTCCGTGAATGCCGCCGGATTCGGAATTTACCTGCGCGCCGAATTATCGTCGAGTGGCAGCGCTAGAAATACACACACACACACATGAATTCGACATCTCGACGTTGCAGCAGGCAAGGATCACTCTAGGCGCCCACACCGGTCCGCTCAAATTCACCCCTCGCTTGCACAACTCGGCGGAACAAGAACGACGGTCGAGTGAGTAGGTTAATGTGCGACTGCTGCGGAGATAAACAGCGAGGGTGCCGCACAGGGACAACTTCCATCCCGCCAGCCAGATATTACACTTTATATTAAACATTTATGTACACACACAAGTATGTATTGAAGCAGTCAAACTACTTGGTGGGCGGGACCGACATATATGAAATTCGCAGGAGCTTTTGAATCAAGTTGTTGTCAGAAGTTTTCGCTTTTGGGGTTTTGACACAAAATATGAATTGATGTATACAAAGGGTACATATTTGTGATAATTATGTACACAGTTCAGTTCAACTTGTGGCACAAAACGGTGGAATTGTTTTAATTATGAATTTCTAGAGTGTTCAAATTTGAAAATGTTTGATACATCAAAGCTAAAGGTCGATTGAATAAATTTTATACTATAAACTTTATTTCGCTTTATTTAATTAAAGAGCTATAGATTATTATTATTTTTTTTTTTAAATCAAGAATAGAACCAGTTGTTTAGAAAGCTATGATTCATCAATTACTCGAATAATCTTTCAATCTCTTTTAATTTAAAAATAAAGAATCGTGGTAGAATTTAAAATGATTGCATAAAAAGAGGATTTATTTATTTTCTTTGAGTCACACTAAAATTCCTTCTTGCAGTGAATCATTGAAAAGTGTGCAAATCAAATTAAAAATATGAGCTGACCCAAAACATCGTTTCACGATTTCAGATTTTAGTGCGCACTTCTTTCATTTCCTGATAATAAATAGTTCCTCAGGCTCTGGGAATTGGCAACTTATTTTCTTCTAACCAATGTTTTCATCAAAACATGAAACATCCCTTAAAATATCAGTTTATATAAATATGCATTAAAGAATCCTTCACACTTAATAATAAACTGAAGAGCTAAGCTTTGAACTACCAATAAATTTTACAATTTACATCTTAAAATTATTTATTACAGTTAACAGACTATTTATATACAATATTATTGTCAATTTAAAACAATTTCAATGCAAATAGGATATCAAAACTGATTAAAAATTTGCAACCAAAAAACTTAAAAAAATACACATTTATAATAAATAAATAGCATATTTTTAAATTATACTAAAAAAAGAAGAAAGAAAAATATTTATATGATGAAAATTTAAAACTTCTATAAATTAAATTTTAATAATTTAAAATTTGGAATGACTGTTAATCTGACAAGTTTCTCTGATTTTACGTTCAAGAAACCCTCTATTTTCCCCACTCTCAAAAACAATAGCTCTGGGATTTATCATGCATGCGACCCAATTAGAAATAATTACTTTTATCTTACCTTTTTGATGTCCAAAAGTCGTTTCTCTGCGGCGTGTATAAATCCCTGATCTGAAACAAAGACCATCAATCATTAAAGATGCAATCAGAAGCGGTATAAAAAGGCAATTTTGAAACATCGCGCTGCTCACCAGACACAACCCCTATCTGAAACGAGGCCACATTTAGACCATTTATGCCCTATACGTGTTTAATCTTGAGATACCGTAAAAGTTTTAGTGCAGAAATCAAGCGAGCTGCCCATCGCCGCTGCTCTTTCATTATACACGACACCTTAATAAATAGTGACCAACACGCTCAAGACGGCGGCGGCGGCGGCCCGTGCGTCCACTCGTAAACCCCGAACCTATAAAATTTAACACGTGCAACCCTTTCGGGCCAGTTTTCATCATGCAAAGCAGCTTGAGGTGCGCACAATAACGGCCGTGCATGCCCGAGCGAGATGAAACTTTTACAACAAAGCCCCCTGAACAAAGTTGGCAATCCTCCTGGGCCGCGCGGGTGTTATTTGATACACTTATGTGCATCGGGCTGGCCGTAATAAAATTTTTCCATTTCCAAAACTTCTTGGCCTTACGACTTTTGCAGAGCCGCTTTATGAAATATTCAATTGTGAAATATGATGACATACACGCTCACGCGGCTTTATCTCTCCGCCTGCGAAAGTGAGAAGAAACTCGCTCTATTTGCAATTATTTCACGTCTGCGTGAACTTCGTCGCCGCGGCGAATAAACAATTTTTGTTTGTCAAAGTGGAAAACGACTGTTCAAATGTTTTTCATAATTTGCGAGGGATATTCAGAATTAAGATATTCTAAAAATTAGACAAATTTCATAGAATTGAGATTTCTTCTTAAATTTAATTGTAATTTGACTGCAAACACTACACGATTTTCAGACAGAAGCTAAATTTTATTCTGCTGAAAATATAAAACAAAGTTCATAATAAAATGCATGTTATAAATACTAGATAGTAATTATTTTTACTGTACATAGACAGGTAAAATTCGTAAAAATATCAAATTTGATTTTAACATAAAAGTAGTTACTAATAATATAAATTCCAGAAGCTTTTTATATGAGATATTTTTTCAATTGAATTTACGGTATGGGGAAAATTCACGATTTTTATTAAATATAAATTTAAATTTTACTAATTAATTTTTTATAATTTAAGAGGAAATTAGTTTCAACTGTGAATTTTTGCTTCTCAAAAATAAGTTTTACAATCACTGCTATGAGTAAAAAATTTACAATTATGATGAGAAAAACAAACAAATAATTTGAACATTTTTGTTACATTGAATGAGATTGAAAAATTTGCGAAAATCCGTTGTCGACACAAATTATGCATTAAACACAAAACCAAAAAGGACTTTTTTCACCAGTCTAATTATATTCGACGCAACAGAATAATTTGCGTTTTTAATTGAAGAGCCTGCATGTAATCCGAGTTTGAATAGCCCTCGCGTGTATGTGATCAACAAAAAATTTGTCAGTGAAGCGCTATAAATTTATCTCTCTACATTTATTTACACAATGTGCCATCTCTCGTTTCCAAAGGCATATTTTCGGCAAAAAACAAACTTTTCTCTCTGTTGGAGATGATTTAGATTTGTGTACCGTTCCATAAAATATCCAGTTCTGTTTTCCTCGCTGGCATATTTTTTGCTCGCGATAAAAAAAAGAAACGCTTTCCTCCAGTTTGTAACGGCAAAGTGGACACCCTTCCTTGGCAAACACACGCGATTCTGAATATTTTAATGTGCACACGTGAGAGATCACCGCGCGGCAACCCTTGGTATATATTTTTCGCGCAGCCTCACCGACTTGATAAATTTGAATATAAATGACTCTGCTCGCTCCTTTTCTCGCCTGCGCGTACATAAAAAGTGGGGAAAATGCCTCTCGCAGACATTTTTTCATCATCATCTCTGGCGGCGACCTGGCGTGCTCGGCTGAATCATCAGAGAAATGCGCCCCTTATTATAGCCGTGTGTGTGTTTTTTCCGCGGAGAGTTTCTCCCGAAAGCAGCGAAAAAGCAGGCACCCCCGTTATATGTCAATTGAAGCCGAGAGTCACACGCCGTTGTTGAAATAAAAAAAAGAGATGAGAGGGTGTGCTCGTCGTGCGTATCAAAAGAGGAAAGAAGCGCCGAGATTTTGTTTGACTTCACGCCTGATGGATCACAAAACGCAAAGGGCAGCGTGACATTTGTACTGCACGCGGCGACGACGAGTAAACAAACACACCAGCAATCTCGTCACTTTCTTTCTTTCTTTCTCTGAACACAAAACATTGGCCAGACCTGAACGGTGGCGAGCAATTACTCGGCATAAAAGCGCCGCTCGACTGGGCATTTTCCGCGGGCGTACAAAGAAGAAAAAGTCCTATATGCTTTTGTCGGCCCCTGCGCTTGGTCTTATTCCAATTTTTATAAAGGACGACAAGCCAGACACGCGGAGGGGGAATCAGGAAGGAAGAGCTGTCGCTGCTGCCTTTTCCTGAAGAGGGAAATCCACTTGGGCATCTTGTGCGGCAGCAGCACCACGTTTCCGCGACTCCGAAAAAGAGTGCAAGAGATCGGCCCCGGGATTGAGCCCCCGGTGTTTTATTGGCCATTCGACGCTCACAATTTGTCCCCCTTCCAAAAACTATTTTCCTACTCTCTAGCGTTTGTCGTGGAAACTTTTTGAACAGAAAGAAAGAACAAGTTAAAAGTCATGAAAGATTTTGTGAGGCTGCATTTTCCTTTTGTGTGTTTTGGTAAAAGCGGATTTTAGCTTTCAATCTTTCAATTTGTTTTTGAACCTTTACAAAACTATTTTTTTTTTTTTTTATCTAAAATTATATCTGTTTAAGGTTCAGATATGCGTTGCCATGTTTAGCAATGTTTTTTTATCGTGATTGTGATTAATAGTTATTATAAAGTTTGTAAATTATTTACTTATTTCAAGAGTCACAAAAAATGGAGATGGTTCGTTGGTTGTTACATTTGTGATTATTCGTTGATTATGTCATACATATTGTATTTTTAGAATGTATTTTCTGATTAATTTAGTATGTATTTACTAATAAAACAGTCATAAATATAATTTCAACTAATAAAATAATTAATTTATAATAAACTGTATACAACTTGAATTAATAAAATATTTAAAAAAAAACATAATTTCAAAATATGCTTTCTACATACTTACCCAGATAAAAAAAGACATTATCTTTGAATTTTTTTAAATGCTGATTGGGATATTTTAGCAATGGAAACTCTGTAATTCAAAAAAATTAAAAGTTTAACCAAACGAACAAAAGAGTTTTAAGAAAAAAATATCTAAAGGTAAATTATTCATTAATTTAGTCGCAGAAATTTTCCCAAGCAGATGAAATCGTATCAAGTTTCTGAAGCCATCGTAACAGCAGAATAATTCCCTGCTCTCAAATCCCATCAGACTTATTACCATTCATTTTTCACTTGCCCTTTTCAACGATAATGATCGCATTATTTTCAACTGTTATAAGAGGCTTACTATGCTATATACTCTCTCACTCCACAGGAGTGAAATGCAAACGAACCTAACAATGGAAAAGATGGTTCGGAAAAAAGGCAGCCCGCACCGCTGCACATCGCTGCTCCGGCGGCGGAAAGATATCACTTTCAAGAGCGGCCCCTCATCGTTATTAAGGCACATTATGCACCAGCTGCTGAGTCAATGCAGGCTTGATTGTTCAATGGGCGCCGCCTCGGGCCCACAACTCAATAAAGAGCGGTCTCGGAGCGCGTTTAGCATTAATCTCGCCGGGTACGTTTTTGTCAATCACAAGCACTCTAGCCTCCGTCGTGAGAAATTAATGTACTTCTGGCATCGAACCCACAATACGAAATATCACGGCTTTGGAAATGCAGCGGGAGCATTATTCAAAACAGCTGGCTGGCGCACAATCGTTTTTAACGGTGATTGACACACAATGATGTGAGTCAATTGATTTTCATCTGTGAATTAATGTGACAAAGACGCGACGCCTATGGTTGTTAATTTATCAAAGCCGATTTTCTCCTCATTTAGATTCTATTAGGATTACGATTCTTGGAACAGAAGTAACAGGAAAAAATATTATGGTTGAACTTTGATTCTTTAAGTTAAGTATTATAAAACTGTATAAAACCAAAACCATGACTAGTGCAATTAATGTACCAAAAAATAATTTTTTTTTTAAGAGTATTAAAAAGCACTAAATTTGTTTAATGTTATTATTATTAGTGAAATTAATAATGATAATAATTTTTATGCACTGTCTATTCCTTTTTCAGATTTAAAATATTATTTGTTTGTAATATTTGTTTATTACATTATATTTAAAATACAATCAATAATTTATTTCATTACTATATTTGTTACTTCTGAAACTTTAAGCAAACTATTTTTATTTTGGTTTTTCTTATCTTTTCTAATTATATAATAAATAAACCGCAGAGCATTAGTTATTATGAATGCATAAAAAACAAATCGATAACTACGTATGGCGTGCGACGGCAGTGGACAATTAATTGTTATGAGTAATTATCTGAGATTAATTCACAAACGAATACTATTACTAATTCATTTCACATCAATCTGACTTGATGTACAAAGATACTTGATGTTAATGTCAAATATTCATAATGTAGACTTGTTGCTAATATAGAATAAAGAATTGCAGATTATAGATTTTAATGGTTAGATTTAACATCAAACTTTGATCATCGTTGTCAACCATCTCGGAGTATGGATATTTGCGTCATTAAATATTATGAGAAAACATCTGAGACAGTTCTATCAAATAAATTGATTAAATTTCTGAACATTTTGGCCTAATTGGTAATGGGTTGAGGTATTTCTCGGTAATGGTTCACATTCCTGCATGTTGTACATTTGCCGTCACATAAATTGTTTCACAATTTGACTTGAATGTGAAACAGCAGCACAAAGGAGCACCAAGTTGAAGCACATTTTATCCAATGTGCACACACAGAGACGACATTCCATCTCCTTGACAACCGATCGCGTTTGAA